GAGGATTTAGTTTAGTAGTATTTTGATGTAATAACTAAATGACAATATGTTAAAGGACTAGGAGAACATATACAACACTTAAAAAATATCATATTATCATGTATGTTGTTTTACAAATATATGAAAATTCAATACCTATTTTCCTTAGAATTTTAATTATAACATTGATTATTAAAAGAAATCACCATCAATTCCTATGTCATTATTACACATCATTTTAATTGTATTTTAAGTATAACTTTAGTTCCTTTTGTGTGATTATTTCTTTTCTCCATAATCATCAGAAAACAAAACAAAACAATAATAATAATAATAATAATAATAATAATAATAATAATAATAATAATAACTTCATGTAAGAAAGGTTTTTAGTTGCTCACAGTTATTTATTTATTTATTTTTTAAATTTGAAATAATCTTTGAAATTCATTATCTACAAATTAAATGTATACATTGTATTTGAGTCCATCTTTCATGACCATATGATAGAATGGCAACTAATTTTGAACTAAAGATCTTCTCTATACTAATAAACGAAAACTAATTTTGACATTTGTTATTTTGTTTTAATTTTCAATTTTTTTCTCATATTTTTTTAAAAAAATGTCATTTGTACTTTTGTCACTTATTATTTTTAATTTTCTTTTAAACTATTTATATTGATTAGCATGTGTATAATCAAAATTTTACATTTAAATTATTCTTCTATTTATACCTCTTTGATTTTCTCCTATTTTCAGTTGCGCCTCCTTAATATGCTCAACAATTTACTAATAAGTAAAATTGATTTTAGACGATTGACTATTAAATTCAAAATTAAATCGAATTGTAGAAGTTCAAACAAATTCATTAGTTTTTATTATTATTATTATATATTAAAATACTTACTTATCTATCATTTCGTTTGTATTTCTCTAAATTTTACTTTATAAAATGTTAAATATTTACACCTTCATATTAGTTTTTGTTTTAAACAGCCGGTGCAGTATACGAGTCTCACATCTAAGGGAGGAGGGAGTCATTCCCCCCAACCCACTGAACCCACTGTCACATCAATTTTTCTCTTTCATTTTTATACGAGTCTCACATCTAAGGGAGGAGGGAGTCATTACTCCCTTCCCTCCCAACCTACTGAACCCACTGTCACATCAATTTTTTTCTTTCATTTTTATACGAGTCTCACATCTAAGGGAGGAGGGAGTCATTCCCTCCCAACCCACTGAACCCACTGTCACATCAATTTTTCTCTTTCATTTTTCTTCATCTTTCTTAACACACAACACACGGAAACCCTATCTTTTTTAACCCACACAACTCATTCAATTAAAAAAAATAAAAACAATCAAGGTAAAATCTTAATTAGCAATAAAGTTACCGCCGGTACCACTACGTCTTCAGCGGGTTGTTTAATTGGTTTCACTAACCCACTTCATTCTCTCTCTCTACTTTCTCTCTTTCATTTTCTCTTGTACAATGTGTTTTAAAACTTGTATCTTAGTTGTTTTGTATTTTTTTTAATTGAATGAGTTAAGAAAGATAAGATTTATGTGTGTTGTGGGTTGAGAAAGAGGAAGAAAAAGGAAAGACAAAAATTGATGTCACAGTAGTTCAGTGGGTTGGGAGAGAATGACTCCCTCCTTCCTAATATGTTAAAATATTTAGGTTGCGTTTAGTTACGGAAAAACAGTTTTCATTTTTCGTTTTTTGTTTTCCCTTTCCAATTTTCGTTTTTCGTTTTCGGTTTTCATTGGAAAATTTAGAAAACGCGTTTTAAAACTTATTTATTTTTCATTTTCAGTTTTAGAAAATTAGAAAACGCGTTTAGATGTGTGTTTTTCTATCGGATTTCATTTTTAGAAAATGGTAGCGGTGGTAGGGTGGGCGTGGGGACGGTGGCGGTGGTGGGGGCAGCGGCGGGGGGCAGTGGTGGTATCGATGATGGTGACGGTGGTGGTGGTGGTGGCGGTGGCAGCGGTGGTGGTGGCGGCGGCAATTGTGGCAGTGGTGGTGATGGCGGTGGAGGTGGTGCTGGTGATGGGGTAGTGGTGGTGGTGATGGGGTAGTGATGGTGGTGATGGTGATGGTAGGTTGGTGATTGTGGTAGTGGTGTTGGGTGGGTGTGTGTTTGTGGAGGTAGGAGTGGGGGTGGGGGTGGGGGTGGATGTGGGTGTGTGTGTGTGTGTGTGGTGATGTGGGTGTGTGTGTGTGTTTGTGGGGGTTGGTGTGTTGTGGTGGTTGGTGTGTTTGTGTGTTGTGTGGTGGTTGGTGTGTGGTGTGTGGTGTGGTGTGTGTTGTGTGTGTGTGGGGTGGTGTGGTGTGTGTGGTGTGTGTTTGTGGAGGTGGGTGTGGGTGTGTGTGTGTGTGTGGGGTTGTGTGTGTGTGTGGTGTGTTGTGGGTGTGTGTTGTGGGGGTGGGGGTGGGTGTGTGTGTTTGTGGAGGTGGGTGTGGGGGGTTGTGTGGTTTGTGGGATGTGGGTGGGGGTGCACGTGTGTTTGTGGGGTTGGTGTGTGTGTGTATGTGTGTGTGTTTGTGGGGGTTGGTGTGTGTTTGTGGAGGTGGGGGTGGGGTGGGTGTGGGTGTGTGGTGTGTGTGTGTGTGTTTGTGGAGGTGGGGGTGGGTGTAGGTGTGTGTGTGTTTGTGGGATGTGGGTGGGTGTGTGTGTGTGGTGTGGGGGGGGGGCTTGGGCGTGAGTGTAGGTAGTAGGGGTGTGGTGGGTTGGGGGTATTAAGGTGCGGGTAGAAGCGGTGGATGGGGTGGGGCGATGTTTATATTTTAGAAAAATTTTGGAATTAACAATGATTATCGGTTTTCCAAAAATTTCAAACTTCTTTGTAATTTTAGAAAACGGATAATTTTCATTTTCCGTGAAAAATTTAGAAAAATAAACGAACTAAACGCGTTTTCAAAATTCTCATTTTTCTTGGAAATTTTTTTCAGAAAACAGTCTATTTTTCCGCAACTAAACGCACCCTTAGTTTTTGTGAGAACAAAATGTTAGGTATTCTGTGAAGAAACAAAAAACAAGAAAAAAAAAATCTAAATTGAAGTTTAAACTGAAAATGTCAAAATATTAGGTCTTGTAATAAGCATAATTGAAGCCATTGCCGTAAATATGACTGATGTGATAAGGTCATATTTTAACTTTGCTTGATGCTATCAAATTTTCGTATGCGGTCATTCTTTTATGAAAAACATGTACAATTTGGACGTTGGATTTTTTGATAAAAATAAAAAAAAAGTAACTATTTTATAAGAAACCATCCAACTAACTTTATTCGTTTAATCATATGAAAAAAATAAAAATAGCTGGAGATTATATGTACAACATAAGTTTTCAAAGAATTAAATATTGAATATAAAAATGTGTGTTTTGAAGTAAAGAAATATTAAAACTTTTAAGAAACTAACATTCTCTCTGACTTTTTGACGCCGACTCAATTAGTCTACAACCACAAAATGAGAAACGACTGGGTCCAGAAAAATAGTTGAGAAAGTTTATTCCTATATTCTATTTTCATCGTTTATTTTAAAAAACCCGTGAATCACATAAAAATAGTATATATCAACCGTCTATTCTTTTTTAATAGTCAAACTTGATTAATAAAATGTCGTTACCACCCACAAATCTGGTTAGAATAACACATCTATTAGATGATTTTAGGATAACTTATTTCTATTTGAAATTTGACTTTTTTTTTATAAGGAGCTGATCCGTACACAACTAAAATAAAACAGGAAGAAATTATAAAACTGCTTTAGTTTGATTTTTGTTTTCTGGTTTAACCATCAAAATAATTTATTTTGGTTTAACTGTCGAAATAAAAAATTTCCGATTTAACCACTGAAAATTTATTTTATTTTCGGTTTAACCACTGAAAGTTAGGTTTTTTTTTTTCCATACTATTGTAGGTTTTTTTTTTTTTTTTTTCAGGTTGTGAATAGCATACACCAATTGGAATAATATATTGTTTTTGTTAAAGATGTTTTTTTTTTTTTAAATCGAAGTTTCAATATTTAAATCATAAAGAAAAATTCTTTGAGTTGTTAAACCGAACAAATTCTAAATTATAGTGTTTTTTTATATAAAATCCAATATTTTATGTAGTGGTTTTTATGAAAAATAAAATAAATTCTGAGTGGTTAAATTAGAAAAAATTGTTTTGATAGTTAAACCAAAAAAAAAGTTATTTTCTTATGGAATTTTCACAGGAAATAACAAAAATAACGTTATGAACCAAGTGTCGGTCTTGGGCCATTAGAGCCATTAAATTTCAAAACATTTCAAATGTATCTAATTTTAAATAATGATTTCCATGGAGAAGGAAGATGATCATTATTATTCATGAGTATCCTAACGACTCGATTCTCCGACAGCTAGTCTTTCCGAATTTAGAATACAATATTATCTATCTAATTATTTAACAAAATAAAACGTATATTTACCAAATAATACCATACCCTATTGAAATTCAACAAAATTACAGACGTAAACATATAAAATGATTAAAATCGTAAATCAAATATGAATTACAGATACATGGGAGAGATATACGGAATTGATAAAACACATTGAAAGTAGCAATCGGTTTCAAACATATATATATATATATATATATATATATATATATATATATAGAAAGAAATTAAATATCCTCCTACCTTTTATTCCTATATATCATCCTATCAAATTAAATGGTGACATGTGTAACATTTAATGCTCATTTAATTAAATTTAAAGATATTTTAGGATAATAATATGACACATGTCATTATTTAAATGGATATGAGGATTTATAGAAACAAAAGGTAGGATGATATTTAATTTCTCAGAGATATATATATATATATATATATATATATATATATATATATATATATATATATATATATATATATAAAAGAATCATCAATTATATAAGAAGTAAATGAAGTCAGGAGACAGGAGTAAACAAAAGAAAGAAGAAATTTCAAAAATCAGCAAAAAATGGGTAAAAGCAAAATTAACGTTGGCAACGCGTAATGGTACTGCAACCACGCTGATAAGGATTGGCCTGACCACCGGATCGACAATTATAATACGAGGAACCTCTCTGAGAGCATGGCACATTGTTTGGTTGCAGCGCTCCATAACTTATGTGGTTGGAGGTAGCTAATATGCGCCTGGTGCTCTCCGATTCCATCTCAAACTCTCCTCCGGCCATACACTCCGCTATTGACCCGGTACACCGTCCTCCTCCTTGCTTCGATAACCAGTTTAACTCGTCTGCGCCGGCAGCAGCTGGCCGGAGGATCAAGGCGGAGGAGATCAGCAATAGGTGAAGAAGAAGAAGAAGAGTAGAATTTGCCATTGTTATTGTAGTTTTGTTTGAATGAATTCAAAACTTGAGGAAACTAGCTAACATATATCGTGTTTAACAATGACAAAGCAAACGCGCTGGCAGGCTGTCAGACCCAATTAAATATTACTGTTTGTTTGTTAAATAATTGTATTTTCATTTCATCGTATTTACAAAAGTGCCATTAGTGCTATGGCTCGACATTTTGGTAGGAATAGGATGCTCAAATATAATTAAAAAAAAAATCATAAATAGTACTTTGATTTTTTGGGATAACAATAAATACAAAAAATACCATTATTCTATTTTGAATAAAACTCTTATGTTAAAATCATCTTTTATAATAATTACTTTTTTAAGATATATCACATTCTTATTCATTTCATGTATTATTTTATGGTTATTTTAATTTTTTTTTTCTAAATTTCATATTATTATTTTTTTCTATTTTATAAATATAATAATAAATGAATATCAATTTCGTTATAAAAAATATTTAATAACAGACATGATGTGGTTCGGGATGTTCTCTTTGATGCTTGTCGGCGTGCTGATATTTCTGTGAAGAAAGAAGCGCCAATGAACTTTTTGACAGACCCGCAGGATAGAATGTCTACACTTAGACCGACTGACATTTTGATATTTGGATGGATAGGAGGGAAGCATGTGTGCGTGGATCTTACTGGGGTCTCTCCTCTCGTTGGTTTGGGGAGCGGGAGTTTCACAGCGGGGCATGCCGCTTTGAAAGCCGCTGCGTGCAAAGTGGTTAAGCACGAGAATGCATGTATAGAAATCAACATGTGTTTGTACCTTTTGCATTCGATACATTTGGTTTTCTCGCACCTGAGGCGGTGGAGCTCCTCAATAGAGTCCAGCGGGTCATGCATTCTAATGTCATATCTCCTAGATCCACAAATGTTGTTTTCAAAAGAATTGGTTTTGCCATCCAGAAAGGGCTAGCGGCGCAGCTTGTTGCCCGTTTGCCTTCAATCGATATGTATTGAACTATTTTAGTCTTCGAATTAATCATGGACCAAAAAAATATATTTCTTTTGTTTATTTATTTAAATGTTTAAATTTAAAAGAAATAGAAACACTTCAATTTCAATAATTTAATGTTTTTCTCATTTTCCTTAAAAATTCAAACTTTCCAAACGTTTAGACTTTCATATTTATATATTTTTAAATAAATTCGTATAGTATATGTAACAACCCAATTTTCACGCCCAAAAATTTCATTTTTATAAATTACTTTAATTAAAACATTCGGAGGAAAAACATTGTAAAATCATAACATCTCATAAGATAATGTCTGAAAATCCAAATCGTAAATAGTGATAATGTCAGAGCATAATCCCAAGGAAACTCATAGTGCAGAATCTGGGGTGTGTGTATGATGTGCAGCTACCGCGCCGGCTCCTTCCCCTTTGAAGAAGAGGTACCTGAAACAAAACTGAAAATCGTAAGCACAAAGCTTAGTGAGCTCCCCCATAATACCACATACCATACACATATAATGAACACCTAGGAGATACGGGCCTCGCCCACACGCCGCTAGCTGGGAGATACGGGCCTCGCCCACACTCCACTATCTGGGAGATACGGGCCTCGCCCACACTCCACTATCTCTGAGATACGGGCCTCGCCCACACTCCACTATCTGGGAGATACGGGCCTCGCCCACACTCCACTATCTCGGAGATACGGGCCTCGCCCACACTCAGCTACTAAACCATAACATACAAGTATCACACAGACAACGAGTATAAACAATTCTTTCGTACAAGCATATATCATAATCAAGCTCAACTATGAGATACGGGTGCTGCCCACACTCCAATACTAACGTATCATCTATACGGGCCGACCTTGGTGCCTTAGACCCGTTCCTACTAGAAGGAAACTCACCTCAAACGAGTAGCTGCTGATAATCTGTGCGGGGAATCTCTGACTGCTGCTGCTCCGGAAATCCTCCGGCTATATTCCCCACAAAACACTTAATCAGAATCTGGTATCTACCATTTAGGGTAAAATGACTATTTTACCCCAGACCAAGTCCAAGTCAAAGTCAAAGTCAAAGTCAACTTCCGATTGACCCGACTCGCCGAGTTGGGTCGTCAACTCGTCGAGTCCCTACCTCTTCAACTGTCCTCCTCCACGTTCCTACTCGTCGAGTTTAGCGATGACTCGACGAGTTCTCCTTCTAACACAACCTCAGATGAACCTTCATCCGACTCGCCGAGTGGTATGAACACTCGTCGAGCCCGTCTTCATCCTAAGAACACGTCCTGTCCTCGACTCGCCGAGTTGTATGAACAACTCGTCGAGTTCATCTTCAAGGGTTGGGAGATTGCCTTGGACTCGCCGAGTCTGTTCTAGCACTCGTCGAGTCCCATGAACCCCAGATCTAAAATGAAGTCCAATGCGTTGGGTCACTCTTTCTGTCCTGCTACAACCCTACTAACACCCAACTGAGTTCTTTTGACCCTCAACAGATATGGGACTCAAAGCCTTGGACTCGTCGAGTCCCAAGAACGGACTCGCCGAGTTGGTCACGTCCACACCCTAAATCCTCGATTTCTGATGTACAACTCATGACCAAAAGATAGATCTAGGCTCCAACAATCGTTCTAGCACGTAAAGTTACAAACTTTACGTGCATGCATGGGACTTTGAGTCCAAAAGGTCCTAAAACAAGCTCTTGGGTTGCATGGAGTCTTCCTTGGGTGGAAAAGCACCCACTTTCTGCCTTGTGACCCCTCAAAGGACCTAGATCCGAAGCCTTGTCCCCAACCATGCTTGCATTCATGGTTGACTACCTAAAATGGCTTATAAAAGCCCTAAATCTCCACAAAATGGGATCTAGCAAATGAACAAGCAAGTTAGCAACTTTATACCTTCTGAGGACTGAAAATGAAGCACAAACTCGAACCCCTCTGGTCTCCTCTTGTTTCCTCAAGCTCTTCTCCTTCCTTCTTAAGACCACCAACACCAAAATCCACCAAAATGACTTAGATTGCTTCAACAACGGCTAGGGTTTTCTATAGAGGGTTTCTGGGAGTATAAGAGACGATGGAGGCTGTATAAGGTTGTTTAAATAGGGTGCAAACCCTCAGTTTAGGGTTTTGTCCAGACAGAGTCTACTCGTCGAGTCCGGGACTAGACTCGACGAGTCCATCACTTAAATCCCGCGTCTCATCCCGCTTCTACTCGGCGAGTTGGGCCTTCAACTCGCCGAGTCCCAGGCCAAAAATGCAAAATTACTAAAATAAAATACATACCAGGAAGCGGGTGCTACAGTATACAAGTCTCACAACTAGTAATAGATAAAAGACAAACTAATTTTAACTGTTTAATTTCATTCAAATTGTTATAAACCTATTGTTATCATATGTAAATCCTAAGGTTATACGGCCATGCTCAAAACACTGGCGATCTGCTAATCTGGACCCATTAATGGCGATAAACACCACGTCAGCCTCTAATTTTCACCGCCGGTATGATAATGCCGATAGCTTTCCACTGGTGGTGAAATTCGAAAAATATGAACGGTTGTGACCATTGGAAGATTTGGATGTTGGCAAATGGCTCTTGGCCTTTTTTGTTTTAAACAAATTTACCACTATATATATACATATTTACCATTCATTTTAATTCACACACACAATCAAAATATCTTCCAATAATCCTAACTCTTTCAACCAAAATGCTTCCAACACATTTGCACTCTTCGGTTACGATCCGACATCACCACCACCTTACTGTCTACAAGTGGATCGATCAAGTTTATCTCAAAACCAAGTGTTTGTAGGTGGTGTTGCTAGCTATTATTCACAATTTCAAATGCCACAACAATTCCAATTCCACCACCCCGAACAACATACCAAACCCAAACGCATACCCAATTCCATTTTAAATCTCAACCGCCCTTCATATAACTAACCAAAAATCTTCCTGATTCCGAACCCAAAGAACAACTTCATAAAAAAAAGAAGGCCGATCCAAGAAGATGGAATCAAAAAGAAGAGAAAAAATTAGCAAAGACATGGGTCGACATATCCAATGAGAACAACACGAGATCCAGATTAACAGACGTCCGACCAATGTAACTAGAAATAGAATATTGTAAACAAACTTATGATGCATTGGAACAAAATTAACACAAACTTTGCAAAGCAATGGGCTAGCAGAGAAAGTGAGCCGAGTTTGTTGAAAAAAAACTCACGCGACATTCCAAGATGACATGCTAAAGCCTTTTAAGTTCATTCATGTGTGGGAAGTTGTCAAAAAAAGTATTATGTGGAAGGAACTTGTAACATATGAAGACGTTATTAATCCGCCAAAAAGAAGCAGGACATCTTCATATTCGAGCTCACAACAAATTTCATCGTATGGTCACATATGCGTTGATATTAATGATGATAACGACGACATCGAAGAAATACACTCGCCTCCTCGTCCCATGGGAAAGGACAAAGAAAAAAGCTCGAGCAAAACAAAAAGAAAAAGAGACATCTTCAAATTATTCGGTCGGAACCGAACAGTCAATTAGATTGGAGGAAATGATGGCACAAATGACATAATTGAATACAACTTTAGAGAAGTATATGGATGAAACCACCCGACTCATAGAATATTCGTTGTTAATGCAAGACGTGCAACATCTCGACCCTAAAGAACAGGAGGCGGCTAAAGTGGTGAATGCGTCAATTTGAGAAAAATATAATTTAAAACGCAAATGAAATTTCAATGTCATGCTTTTTTTTTCTACGTTTTTAATGTAATTTTTGACTTCATGTATTTTTTTTTCAGGTTTTTAATGTAATTTTTAATTTCATTTTTGTAGGGTTTCTAAAATGTAATTTTTAATTTTAGAATGATTTTTATTAAAAAAAAGTTCTTATTTTTTTATTGAAATTAAAAAAAAATTTCATAGGCAAAACCATCACTACATCCTAGTTCACAGATAAAATTTGTAAAAAATATAAAAGTTGATATGACGCCTATATGAC